TCTGAAGACAAAGTAGATTTCCTCTAAACTTTCCACTTGCCGTGATAACCAAGGCAAGCAACAGCAACTGAATAGGGAACAAAGAACATCTGAAGTGCTGTTTTGTCAGTTCAGTTCAATAAATAAAAGGACAGTGGCTGTGGGATCAGTCATGTAATGAACAACAATCATAATGGGCCTTAAGTTACCCTCTCTCTCACCCCTCCAGGCACTGCTGGCACAAATAGCTCTTGTTCCAGCAGCCCACTGCTTTCCAGGTTAAGATCCCACTCCCTGCTGTTCATAGCTCTGCCCAAGTAATTGCTCAGGCTCAGTCCTTCCTTGTCAGGTGCCTACTTCCACCTAAGTATTTTTGGACATGTTATTTAGACTGTGGTAATGCCTAAATTATGCCAGGCGTTTTCCAAGCAAAGAGTCTGCCCCTGCCCCTTAGTATGTAACTGCAGCCACTTCCTAACATAGGGGAATTTTAGCACAAGCAGCTCTTTACTATAGATCTGTTTTACCTCCCCACTCAGCCCCATTTTCTTCTTCAAAGCTGCACCTATTTACTTCTCTCTTTGGGAATCTGACTGATAAACCTCCTGTTTCCCCTCGGTTCAGCTCTGTTTGCCGACAGACAAGGAACCATAATTACTACCTTAGACACAAATTCAAATTCAAAGAGGTCAAGGGAGAGAGGGGAGAGAAGCAAAGCCAAGTCGATAACTGGAGTGTCTGTGAGGGCACAGCCCAAACGATCCCGTGCACTGACAATCCCATGGGATTTGCAGTTGGAAACAAGCCTCTCCACAGAGCCAGTACCCTTCCTGAGCACACAGCCTGCTCTGCAAGGGCAGCAGGGAGAGCTGCCCTCAAACTCACTCTGTCAGATGCTGGAATTTTAAGAATTTAGGGCTGACCAAAGACAAGTCTGAAAGAAAGAGGGAGGCTGTGAAGAATTCCTGGTGCTTTAACTTTATACAGTCAGGGCAGACATCAGACATAAGCGACCTTTCCAATGACCCTCACACTACTTTTTCTTCTACAATTTCCCCCAGTTTTTCATTTAATAGTTCTGTCATTATAAAGGGGCCTGATTTCTTCCACAGAACACTGGTCTAAACTTAGGATGGCTACTTGATTTGGGATGAGAAAGAGCAAGACAGTTTGCTGAAGGACCCTCACTGCACCTCAGCATCACACATTCTGCAGGGATAAAAACTTTTGCCCTGACAAACTTTTACCACCATAGGAAAACGGGAGTTACGTACAGCAATAAGCATCACATGGTGAGTAATTATAGAAGCAATATAATCCTCAGCAAACATTTCAAGGGATCAACTTTTCCTGACCAGTCTTTTGCATGCTCAGTAGATAATCCATGTAATGCTAACATTTCAGGGAATTGCAAACAATTGCAACTTTCACTGTTTCACTTCCAGTTGCACTCCCTGGCCAGTAAAATTTGTATTTATTTCCTTTCAGCTGACTTCTCCATAAAACTCCAAAATCCAACCGTAAAGAACTACAAAGAAATCCCATTGTTTCAGAAGATGCTCTTTTCTCAAAAAGAACAAGCAAAACCACTTTACTGATGTAAAGAATCTACTTAGAAAAACCTAAAGTGAAAAGCAACAGCAAAGGTACCGTAAAATACTTGTATATACTCAATTTAACATGCTGATTAGGACAGTAATGCAAATGAGCAATGCTGTGCAGAGGTGTTCATGAGGAGAAAAACACTGCATATTAGTAGAAGAGGAGATTCTACAAATGAAAGTGAGTATTTTTTAGAAGACTTATTCTCCACAGCTTTCTATTAAAGTGAAATTGCATCCACAAATATCTGAACACTTACCCATCCACCTGCTCCTCTCCCAGAATGTACCGCAGGTTCTTCAGGAAAGACAGGGAGACCAATGCATGGGAATGACGAATCTTCACATATCCCGTTACTGTCTCAATCAGACCCATAAAATTCTCCAGTTCTGAGGCAATGTTATCTACAGTGAGAAAAAAATAATCATTATTGTAACAGAATTCACAGCTTTGACTAATATTCTGCTTCATGCAGTATTAGCTCAGTAAAATAAAATGTTTGTATTTGCTGCTTTTGAAAATGAGGCACTGGTTTTCTTCCCCCAGAACAGTTGCCTGTGCAGCCAGATGGCTGAAGGGCAAAATAAAGCCACAGAGCAACAGTGGGAAACCAGTTCCATACTGGAACACCTGATTTTTCTGTGAGCATTGCCCTCTGAAGCCAGCACCAAATGGTGAGCCAGCATTCTGGCAGGGATGAAATGACCCTTGTGTACATGTACACACCATGAGATGGAATTGCTTTTTGGGTATGGAGCAAAGCTCAGGCAGAAAGCTCCACTGGAAAACAGAGAATGAGACTGAAGATGGAGAGGATAGGGTATGCTCCTGGTCTGCTCTGGGCCACAGAGCATTACTTTCCATGACCTGAAAAGCTACAAAACAGAACCAGTTGATGAAACAGCAGAGGTAAATCCATCAGGAAGTTCTGCCATGGAGCAAAACTCACTGAAGTTGAGTTTCTACTAGAAATTATTAAAATTACTGCAGAGGAAGCTCTGCTCATCAGAACTGTGTTCTCTCTATGAATTGTCCCTGCCCAGGGCTGCAACACCCCATCCTTCACAAGCTCAAAATCTGCTGTCCTTACCTCCAGCAACCCCTGGCCCAACCCCTTTGCCTGGTGTCACCATCTTGCCAAGTTACACTGCCGTTCCAAGGAGAAGCTTTTAAGGACTTGGGAGAAGCTGCTTTGGGGTGTTTTGCTTTGCTGCCATAAACACACCAAAGATGTAAACACATCCTAATAGATGGCTGGGAAGACCAATTACCAAATACCAATGGTTGGTTCCCATACCATCTGATGCTCTTTGGCACTCTAAAATAATGCTTAAATAAAATAAAAACACTCCCACATACTTGCCCCAGGTAACTGGAACATCTTCCACAAGGGAAGATTCCACCTGTAGCAGTGGGACCACAAATTAAAAAATCCACATGTTGCTGTAACTAAACCCTGGAATTTCAATCAGCATGAGGTAGGGAATCAAACAGATCCCAATCTTTCAACCTTATTCATGAAACCGAAAGGGACCTTCCACAGGGACATGCAAGTCCAATAAAAACTAGCAGCAATTTTTACTCTGCTTTTAAGAGCTCATCAACTGTCAACACCTCCCTGGCTGATGAATCACTGCTCTGACAAATTTAATCCAGCGCTTGTTGAAGACATGTGACAGAGGTGGCCAGCTCACTAATGCTGACCATCCAGCAGCACAGTGTTAGGCTTTATAAGAAAAAGCTCTGAGCAGTCTGGATTCCATGTTCTAGCAAAACACCACACCTTGCCTTAAAAAGTGAGGATCTTCAGTTTTACAGTGCCATGTGACAAGTTATTTACCTACCCAGATGCAAGGATTTTCAACTTTTCCACCTTCTTGGGCCTTTATTACTCCTTTGGGACCACTGCTCATCTAACTGCCTAATCCTGGTTCCTTGTCCTGCCAAAAAACCTAGCAAAAATACCAGCTTTCCCTGGGAGCTGAATACCTATTCCACCCGCGTGGGGCAGGACAACGCTGCAGTGGGCCAAATCAAACAGGAGCACCGCTCTGGGCCTGGAAAGCAAACAGCTTGCTGAGTTTTTAATGTTCTTATCATTACGCTGACGACAGAAGGAAAAACGTGAAAAGCAGCCTTATCAGGGGTTCAGAAAGAGAGGGCGATCACTTACTTCCACGCCGGATGTTGATCAGCAGATTTCCCTTGAGAATTGTGCATCCCTGCAACATTTGTGCTGACGTGACTGAGTCAATGGTCTTCGTTTTCCCATCCTCACAAATTTTGGGGCAAGGCCCCTCACAAGGGCTGCAGAACATGCTGTGAGGAAAGAGGGGAATATTGAAAATAAACAATGATGTGGGACTCTGAGTCTACAGACTGCTTTGAGGTGAATTTGGAAGATATTTCCCTCTACAGCTTAGGCAAATCCTCCAGGCCAGAATGATAGTGTCATGCTTGTTCAGGATACACTTGCCTGCTGCACTCAAGAGAAGCTGGAGCAGTCTTACAGTGATTGAATGGACCCACACCCACAGTCTGACAAGGCTCTGTGATCCTTCCACTTCAGGTAAAACCCAGTGCCCTTGCAACTGTGCATTTACTCTGACTTAATTGTTCCCAGGGACCCAACCCATCCTATTTGCAAAGGCAGCCTCAGAGTGCAGGGAGGTTTTGTGTTAATCCAGGCCCAACCTCACAAAATAGGCCAGCCAAGAACTGGAGATGGGAAAATACTGTTCATGTTCTTATAAAGTTGTCTGGGTCCATGTCCATAAACCAATATTTAAAGCTCAGCACTAGGGAATTCCATGCTCCTGGCTGTTTAACTCAAAGACAACTGTGGGGGCACACAGTCAGGAGGGATGTGGAGAAAGTGAGCAGTCAGTTAGTCACTTCTTACAGCTTAAGAGGCATTAAAGCAGCAAGTTTAAGGAAACAGAAGATTGTGTCTTGATGCAAGGACAACTAATTGGCAACAGAAACTGGAAGAGGAAGGCCAGAAGTCTAAGCAGGTTCAAAATGGGTGGTACAGATGGAAACATCAAGAAAGACACAGCCCCAAAGTCAGAAAAACCAGATCGCCAGAAGCTGAGAGGCAACACCGAAACACAGGCTCATTTCTGCTTCTTATGCTCACAGGCACTCAGAAGCATTTTTAGCAGCCAAACTCAAGCAATAAGAACTCAGGGCAGATCAGCCTTTGGCTGCAGGAGCTTTTTAAAGGTTCCATGTTATATTCCCTACATATTCATCTCAAAGTTGGACACTTCCTGTGTGCACAACACAGGCCCTCTGATCACTCCTCCTGGTAAACGCCTTTCCTGATTCAAGGTAACTTTTATTTTCCAATTTATTCTAGCATTTTACTTACTATTTCATGATTACTTACTCCACCTAATATCACTTTAGAGAGGAAAAATAAAAATTAAAAAAACCCAAACCCAGCTCCAAAGAGGCTTCTGTCAGCTTCTGCTGACAACACTGATGGACAGGGGCTTACTACTTATTTTTTTAAAAAGTGAAACCACTTTCCTCTGAGGCTTAAAGAAACATGTAAATTGATAAGTTTTCCATGCCTAAACCATAATAGAAAGAATCTCCTTTTCTAAGTAGTAAGCTCCTATTTCAAAATCCTGCTCTATAACATGCCACAAACCACTAAAAGCTGCAGACACAAGAAAGAGGCTTCAACTAAATGTACAAAGAATGCTGGAAATGCTTTCCATTTGCAACTATTTGTTAACAGCACCTCTGGGGAACAGAACATTCACTAGCCTTGAGTTACAGCTCCTTTCCATCTCTGCAGAGAGCACAACACCGAGATAAGACAGGATGGCCGCACACTCCAGCGTAAGTGGCTCAAACAGCTGCTCCTACAAGCTCCAGGAGATAACAAAAGCTGCATTTCTCAGGTGAATATCTGGATTTGGGCAAAGGCTGTGTTAAGTTGCTTGTATCCAAATGCCAACTGGAGACTGCCTGGAACGGATGGATGACACGCACGCAGAGACACAACTGCTGCATCACCACAATCACCTTTCCACAAACACAGCAGCCTACAAAGACATCTTCTTAGCACAATACTGAAGCAAATTACAATTTTTACAAATTTTAGCACACTGACTATCCTTTACTGAAAGGCCATGGCTTCCAAGGGACAGTAGGCAATGAAGGCTGCTTGCTTAAGCCAATGGAAATTACAAAATCACAAGCAAGCATTACTCCAACTGTTCGAATTAAATAACAGGAGGAGAGTGACACTCTTACAAGAATTTATTCTGTATAATATTGTTGGCTGCTGCATTGTTTTTGTCACCATCTATATGATTACTTCCTTCTAAAACATCATTGTTATCTCCTGGAAATACTGAAAAAAGGAAAACTAAATTAAGTACACTGAAGAATACATGTGCCTAAAATGCAGGTACACAAAGCAAATAACACGCAAGACAAGGTAACTGCTATGGACTGCTCTGTTTGATAATGGTCATCAGCCAACTCCAGCCTCTGGCTCTACTTTGCTCTTGGGCTTCATTTTCACTTTGTTACTCTCTAGGTGAAGAGGTGGTTCTGCACTGCATGACCTCCTCCAGCCCTTCTGAAGAACCAGAGCCCACTGACAGTGCACAGGACCACACATACCCATCGGGTGGATTCATCACGGGAAGGTCTAAGTCAGCTTCTACCAGGAAGCCACACAAACCCCCACTGCAATTCCCGCTCCTACGTCCTCCCCTCTACCCCAAGTAATTTGCACCCCAAGCTGCCCCTGGACAGGGAGTGGTAAACCCACACAGGACAAATAGGCAGAAGCCACGCTACCTTTGGCTCCCGTTGCGGATGAAGCCCGAGGGACACTCGGCCATGCACTCATCGTTGTGAATCACGAACTTCTCGTATTCACTGGCGTCCGTGGCGGGCACTTTGGAGCAGAATTCCCTGGTGACACAGCGCCAGCCCTCGAACTTGTAGGTGTTGGGGGGGCAGGTGGGCAGGCACACACCCTCGTAGTAGTAGTTGCGGCAGGCCACGCATGCCGTGTTGTTGTCGGGCGCCGTGCAGCTCCCCAGGCACTCGGGGTGGCAACACTCGTTTTGGTCTGTGCAGGCTCGCTTCCCACACGAGCTGGGGCACACTGCAGGACACAAAGCAAGAGAGCATGAGCAAGACCTGCCGAGGTTAGTGGAACTAAAGGACAAACTCTGTTCTGTGCAACTCTATGGCGATTCATTCCCTGCGCTCTAAAGCATCTCTGAAAAAAACCGAACCCGTTATTGTAAAAAATTCTAGTTTTCTCAGCTTTAGTTGCCTGAAAGTATCTTTTTCTCAGATCAAATTTATGACATGAACCAAGTAAGTAATAAAGAAAACTGCTGAAAGCAAGATCAACATAAGGATAATGGAAACAGGCAGTACTGGAACCTATTCCATAGCCCTAGTATTATGGACAATTTTTTTTTTCTGGCATGCTGACTTACTGTCTTTCTAAGCATTTCTTGCCTTTCCTATTTGTACTTCAAATTGGTCTTTTACTGGCAAGAAAACAAGCTTCCTTCAAAACAACTTAATTACACTTGTAGAAGGAAGCACTGCTCTACTGCAGCACACATGGTTGGCCTGACCCTAGTGTAGCATCTCAATGTTGCTTATGTGTGCAAAATGCGGTTTAATAAAGTATCAAATCATCATCCACATCAAATACCGAGGAATTACGGAGCTACTATTTTCCCCTGAAGAGCATAACAGAATTCTGCCTTATCCTCAAATTCTGGGTTCAGAGAACAAAATATGAAAGGGAGAAAAAAAATAAAGGGGGTGCAAATTTATGGAGACATTCGTTTTATGTGAACGCGTTTCAGCTTGGAAGACACGAACAAAGAGCAGAATCCTCAGTAGCCGAGCTCACCACTGCTAGATCAAAAGAAGTGGCAGCATTATATTTATGTAACAACAGCATTTTGATTACAGCACTCTATGGCCTTTTAGCCACACCAGCCCTGTGCCAGAGGCTCTGGAAACACACATTTTGCAAATGTGGTTTGCATTAAGTAGCTGTTTGCCACTTTCTAACTTAGCTAAAACACTGTGTCAGTAACAACAGCAGAAAACTGGATTTCAGCGGTGCCACTACAGAAGATCCAAGTGAAGCACCACAGACATTTAAACTGAATGATTTCAGCAGAAAGCAGAGAATCAGGAGAGGTTAACATCCCAAAATGACCATGGAAGTAGCTGATGCAACTCCACACAAGTTCTTCATTGTGATTTATCTCTCAGTTTGCAACTACAGTGGTTTTTTTTTTAATCCAGGACTAAACACCCTAAAATTTTAATGCCCTCCTCTTGCCATAATGAAGTCCAGGCTTTCCAGTTTTTACAATCCCATTCAGCGGAACTCCACCATCCTGACACAGGATAAAATGCTCAAGACTGCTATTAAGCAATACTAATAACAGTAACAGCAATAAAAACAATAATTCCCCCACAAAAACAAACCAAAAAACCACAAAAACCCCCATTGCTCATGGCTCTGCATCCACAATGTTGACATCTTACAATGACTTTTGATTATAAAGAGCCATTTTCTCACAGCTTTAAGTAGTGCCCACCTTGAAAAGGACTTGTCAAAATGCCAGTGAGGAATTTTACATTTCTTGTCAAAATTACTCTAATTGACTCTGATGAATTGTAATCACTTTGTTTTGAAATGGATGGAGGGGTGAAACTATGAGAACAAGGAGGTGGGACCACGAGCGCTGCTGGTGCCTGCTCAGGCCACAAGTATCACAACTGTCACATGAAAACCAAATTAAGAAAATTTTTGCAGTCTGTAAGACTACAGAGAGCACAAATGAAGAGGCAATCACTGCTAAATAACTCATTGTCTGAAGATGCAAGATGCTTTTTTTCTTGAAAAGGAAACAAACCATACACAACAAACCTGTACACCAAAATAAAACACACATGCAGGTATGTATTCTCTTTTTGACTGTAATCTGCACCAGTGTAAAAGAAGTCTGCCCAGATGCCACCTTGGTAACGCATCACAAATTGCCTTTCACCTTAAGGTACACAGGACTTGCATCTGGCACTACTAAGGGATTAAAAAAGAAAATAAATCAGTGTGTCTTGCTAGCAGATGGACTGCTGTGCTGAGTGGGTGCCAGAACTCAGATTTCATGTGGTAGCTACATTTCCAGTTCAAAGCCCTACTAAAAAAACCACACATACCCCACCCCATGCCTCCACAAAGTTTATTACTGTATGTATTGATTAAATTCATGATTTTTTTGTTTTCATCTGAACAATTTGCTGGAAAACAAACACTGTTGTACTAAGTATTGAGATAAACATAGATTAAGTTTATTTCATTCCTGGGAAAGACTCCTGTATTCCCTTAATGCCTCTGCCATTCATGAGCAGTCTGCTATAAAAATAGGATTCCCTGCATCTCCTGGTAAATCTGCTGACTCTGGTCTACGGAAATATAAATTGGAACACAGAAGGATACACAAGTTCACATGAAAAAGGCAATCAGTGAAACAGGTTTTCAAAACTATAGTAATATTTTAATCACAACCATTCTAATATGAACTCTTGAAAAGTTTATAGAGATTATTTTTTAAAAGCTCAGCAGCCTCGGTTTTTCCTCAGTCCTATTTTCTGCTTGTTCTTGCTAACGTTGGCAGAGTTTTCAGCCTGGAGACAATACGGGTATCCTGTTTCTTTGAAGAGGCAGAACAAGAACTTCTGTGTGTGTGTGTGGGACATATTATCAACAACAAAAAAGCCTTATCTGCCTTACACGCCAGTTCCCTCAGATATCCCTGTTCTAAAAACCTCACTAAACAACACTGGCTGACCTCACAGTCCAGAGCCATCTATCCTCCCCCACCCTCCCAAACTGTGCTACTTGGGCTCCTAGATTTGTACCAAAACATGTAAAATGCAGGTTCCAAAATACCTTGGCCAAAAAAAGTGCCCTGCAATACACTCAGTAACTTGTTGACTTTACTCTGCAAGAGCATTAGAGACACGGACACAAGCAAACAGTGGGCTGGCATCTGGGGACAGAATTTATCAGCCAGGTACAACAGTGCCTTGGAACATGAAGGCTGATGACGATATACACAAAAAAAATAACCCCCAGAACAAATCCTTGCTGACAAGCCCAAGGGCAAAAAATGCTTAATTGTCATCACATGGAGATACCAAAATAATGGAAAATTTCAGAGACCTTGGAGAGCAGCCATGGGAGAAGGAAGTCAAAGCAAGACGTGGAGAAGGGCAGACACTTAAGCACTTTAATAAAGAGTTGATGGAGGCCTGACTAGACCAGCATCCATTTACATTTAGGGAGTGAAAGTAGCGTCAGATCTTCAGAGAAAGACAGTACACAATACAAATCCAGTTTCCTGGAGCAAAACCAACAACAGAACTTTCATTGTCCATCTGTACCTCGCCTTCTCTCTGATTTCTTCAAATGAGTTTTCCCTGTCAACAAAAAACTCAGAAGATCTTCCAAAGACTATTAAGATACTATGATCACTGACAAAAAAGAAAATAAAAGGCAAAATTTTTTCCAAGATGCCTGTTTACTGAGAAAATCAGATTCAGACCCGACATACAGCAAGGAGATACCTTAAAACTAAATGCAAGAAACATCTTAGAAACAAACACAAGGAGCCCCAAGAGAATCTGACACAGAGACTCATTACCCTCAATGAAAACCCCCAAGATGCTAAACCAGAACTGCAAACACAAAGCAAGGTTTGGAAATCCTCAAACACAACTCCGGGGGGAAAAAGAATTTAAAAAGCAAGCGACAAATCATCTGCCTGTATTTACGACAGTTCCCTTCTGGACAGGCTCAGGCTAAGGAGGTGGCAGTAAGTTTGTCTGACATCTAATCCCTCTCTGCTATGTGGAGCGTGCACCACGCCAGGGCTCGCTGCGAACACCCCACGTTGACATCACGGCTATCGTACAGTTTGGGCAGACAAAGTGTTCTTATCATCTCCAAGACGCCATGACTTCAGCGATGCTGGAGCAGAAAAATCAGGTGAATAAACAATCAGTCACAGGGAGTGAAAATGCAGCCAGAGGAGGAAGACTCCTGGCAAGCAGAGGCGCCGGCCTCGGCCAAGGATGGCACCGCGCCAGTCACATGCGGGCAAGCGAAAGGTTGCCAAGTGTGGGATAAATATTTTTTAAAGATTCTTTCTCTCCTTGTAAAAAGATATTTGATCCTTCTTTGGTTTGGATTTTTTTTTTTTTTTTTGTATGCTCTTTCTTAAAGCATCCTTTAGATAAAATAATGTTTCAGAAAAAAAATAGGGGGGGGGAAAAAGCACCTCGTTTTGAGCAGAAACCAGAGGAGGAAGGGAGCGTTTTCTCCTAGCCAACTACTGAAAAAATTAGCTGTCTAAATTTATCCACAAAGACAGAAAAATACAGTCACTTTTGGAATGTTAATCCTTCTACATGACAGAATTTAAAAAATATTGCATTTTAATGGGCTAAACTTTGGTACGGCCTTTCAAACAGCTGACTTCAAATGCTCAGACAGCCTATACAAGACCTGATTTCTTTTGCCCAATATTCTGCGAGAATAGAGAGACTGGAGAGACATTACTCAGAAAATCCAGTTCCAGTGATTCATGGTCAGAGCTGGAATCAAAAACTACAGAATAAAAGGAAATACACATATTAAATACATGCAGCAGCGTATTCTGATCACAGAAATATGGGTAAAAGTCATCACTAAGGCACTGAAGAGGCCACTCAGCAGTTGTATAAATCTTTATATTGCCACAGAAATAGGTATTAGCAGTACATCAATAACAATATATTTTTTGTCTTTTCTGTTCCCCTTCCCTAAAACTGGTTAACTTGTATTCAGTGAAAATCCTGAAGGCAAAAAATGCTGCCATGTCAAACCACTTCCTAATAGATAAGGCACAAAGTCTGGCAGCTTTTGACATTAACTGCCATATCTCAAAAGTTCAGTTCAACCCAGCACTGATCTAGGACCTGAAAGAGATCATCTCCTCCTTTGTTAAACCTCCAGTATGTCATGTCCACCACCAAAATACTTGGATAGGTCTATATAAACTTACACCAAGAGGGCATTAA